AGCAGCAAGAAAACTTTCATTGTTTTGCCACGTATATCGCTTCACAGTAATAGAGACTACTGCACTAACATCTTCTTTTAAAATACCTCCTTGGAAGATTGCCTCCGGGTTGTCTATATCCCTAAATAGAATTTGTTTGGCATTACAGTCTATTGTTGCCCGGTGGCGTGACAACCAGTCCATACCCAATATTAAATCGAAATAGGACATATGCATTGGAAGTAGAGTGACCTCTCGTATGCAGTCCCCAATAAGCAACAGACAGTTGGAAAAACGAGTTAGCATACAAATTGAACCACCCATTGGAGTAGATATTACCACTAAAAATTCGGTGGTTTGCTCATACGATTTTAATCGGGATTCTAATTGTTCAGAAACAATTGAGTGTGTCGCGCCAGTATCAAACAAAACATAAACATATAAATCAATTAATTTAACATGACCCGAAATCATACCCGCTTGAGATTTGCTGCCAGGTAATGCAAAGACTCGTCCACTAGTACTTGGTTGTTTACCTTTCCCTTTGTCAGTTTGGATCCGAGCTTTGGGACAATCTTTTGCCATGTGACCTTGTTCTCGACAATTGAAACAGGAACCGGTCATCTTTAAACACGGACCCGTCGATGTCGAAGATTGCATCGATCACAATTAATAATAGGGCTAGAAACATTTTGACTCCCACTGCTAGACAACACTGGAAGTCGTGGCGTGGATAGATTCGAGCCTTTTTGAGTATCGCTGCTCGACTTTGATTTTACAAAACGAGGGTTGTTTCGGGAGAAAGATTCAGATCCGCGTTTCTTATTGTCAACGCATGAAGTTAACCATTGTTGTCGTGACCGAWCAATATTCTTTGCTGCGTCGGCCACTTCAGTAACAATATTAAAAGGATGATTCAGGAGACGATCTTTATACCTTGAGTTCAAAGTCTGTTTAATTGAAATTGAGAAGGATTGAGGTTTTTGTTTGTTAAACCTTTCAAGCCATATATATATTTCTTCCGTTGGTTACCCGAACTGGATGTAGGATTTCCAGTATTTGGTGTAGTAACAGGATTTGGATTTGAAGGAAGATTATGCGTTGCTTGTTGCATAGCCTGAATAGCCTGTTGCAGATATGTAGGCATCAGACTTGACATGGTCTGACGGACCATATCAGCAATATTGGGTTCATTTCCACCCTCCACTGGATTGGGGTTGGGGTTTGGGTTACCCTCAGGTTGAGATATGGATTTACGTGGGCGACCACGTCTCGACATTCTAAAATAAAACAACATGAAAATCAGAATTCAAAACAGTTATGGATTAGAAAAACGGTAGATAGAATTAGAAGCTAGTATACCCGTTCTTATGTCTACCCATTTCTCACAGGTCAAGCTTACTTTATCTACAAGTCAAAACCTATGCTCTGATACCACATTTGTAACATCCCCCGTCCTCGTGGTCCAGAACAGGCGATGTCACTAACGAGACTTAATTCTAAGATACAAACATTGCAGAGCTACTAATAAACTCCAAACGTAGATTAACTTCTAAAACATGCTTTACAATCCAAAATATTACATTCTATCAACTCTTTATAAGTTTAGAATATTATACATCTACCAACGAGTTTACCAACTCCAAAAATTCAAACGTTCGATCTCAAGTCCCGTCCCTTATAAGAATCACTTGGAACCTACCGTGTCAGAAAACAAGAACACAGCTGAGCACAGGGCTCAGTGAACAGATTGTATATAAACTTGAAATAATAATACATAACATCGATAATAAAGCAGAAGACTTAAAAATCAATAAAATTGAATTCATAGAAAATCAAGACGTTTCACAGTTCTCATTTCAAAACATCATTTAAACACAATCCGTCAATTCCTGTAGTGTTCGTGGGGTGGCCAAACC